CACAAGGCGGATATTTATTAATAGTAACTTTAGTTACATATTTATTCAAAACTTTTTAGAATATTTTAGGGAAATATTTTTTTAGAATATACAATACATGTTGTTATTGAAACGTTTCTCATATTTATTTTCGGACTTTTCCTTTTCGTATTATGTTTCTATGTTGTTATTGTTATTTACCTACCATCTGAGTAGTGATGCTTTTCTCGGACACTACTTTAATGGTTGATTTGAAGGACTTGCTTACAGGCGGATGAACCTCATAAGTAATGGGGGCACATGTCCCCAATAAAATTTGACTTTAACCTATATTTTTCATGATTTTTTAATAATGCCCAGTTAAAGTGTTTTGATATTCCTTTTTCTTTTGAGAAAATTGTTAGGTTGCTCTACTTTAACTAAAAACTCAATTGAATTCTCGTAATTAATTATGTGAATCAGTCAAGTCCATCAAGTGTTAAAAAATGACCAAATTAGCAATGTGGCCGGTTGAGTGGAGGTAATGCCGGTTATAGCTAACCTGGACGCCCATGTGAGCTTCGTCTTCTTCCCCACTCTTTTTTCTTGCAATATTAGCTTTTTCTTCCCCTCTCTTTGCATCCTACTAGTGGTTCTTCTTTTCTTCCTTAATTTTTTTCTTTCTTCCATCTTTCCTGTTCCGTTGAAGGGTACCAATTGTCATCGATCATCGCTCACAGGCTGTCACAGCTTCCCGGTTTTCGTTCGGCAGCACCCGGCCCCCAAAACTTCCCCTTCCGCTGCCCGTCAATCCGTCATCAACCGCCCGCAACTTCTTTAGCCTTCACCGCCCGTCGCTTACAACTACAGCCCCTGACATGGGCGGAGCTAGGGGTGGGACAACCTAGGCCATGGCCCACCCAAAAATTTTAAAATGGCTTAATTTTTATGGTAAAAAATTTCGTGTAATTTTTTTCCTATAAATATTCTTTGTATCGGCCCAGTCCGGCCTAGTGTCCTGGCTCCGCCCCTAAGCCCCATCTGCGTCACCGACCGCGCACCCTTCATCCAAAAATTCTCCAACCACCACCACCCCTCGCTCGGAACTTCCTCAACCTGCCGACTACCATTGCCTTCTGCCTGTCTCCCTCATCTTTCTCAACCTCCGCAGAAACGCAAATGCAGAAGAAGTAGTTTGGGTCAAAGGAGGGAAAAGAAAATGAATGGGAGAAGAAGAAAGAGAAAGAAAATGAAAAATTAAAAACAGAAACAGTAAAAGGTTACCGTAGGCGTGTAAAGGGATATCGGTTGATTACCTAGTAAACAGTTAATTTGACCGATTTTTTAGAGTTTCGGACTTAATTGATTCATTTTAAAGTATGAGAATTCAATTGATTTTTTTATAAAAGTAGAAGATCTATTTAACAGATTTCCCTTTTCTTTTCATTTATATTCATTCTTTATTTCACATGTATCTAGTTTATCTAATCTTTTTTTGTAATTGATTCTCCATTTGATATTCTCATTAATTTGTTAATGGAGATTTGCATTTTTAGTACCGTAATTTTTAGGTGTGCCTATTATGTACTTACTTGCGGATTAGTCCTATAACAGATAAAACTTTGCAATTTAAGGAGTTTTGCCCGGAAAAGTTCCATGTTCTGAAAATAAATTATCGAAAAAGACGTCATTGGGGTTCAAATTTATGCCGGAAAGTGTGCTCTCCTGTGAAAAAGTAGTTCTTAAATTATAAATATTTATTAGTTATAAGACCAAATCTACACGGAAGTAAAGTTAAAGGACTAATAACAGCCGCAACTGAAAGTTACATGAAGCGAGTAGGACTAGGCGTAGTATTGAAATCACCACAAGGGGGCACCATATTGCAAGCAATCCATTGAAACTTCAAAGCCACAAACAACGAAGTCGAGTATGAAGCACTGATCATCGGACTCATAGTGGCATGAGACCTAGGAGTACAAATGATCGAAGTAAATTGTGATTCTATCTTAATTGTTAATCAAATTAAAGGAATTGATGCAGCTAAGAATCCAAAGATGACGTCCTACCTTCAAATCGCCATGGACTTGATGTGTTCCTTAGAGAGTTGCATCATTCAACAAATACCAAGGGAAGAGAACGCTCAAGCAGACTCGTTACAAGCAGTTGAATCTTGTTTAGGATCGAAGCTTAATGAAGACATATCGTTCGTCATCCTGACGAGTCCAGCCATTGACATAGTCGAGACCGTTAGTCTTATCGAAGCGTCACCAAAAGACACATGGATGCAACCATACATGGACTACTTGAAGCATAACATATTGTCGTGAGATGAGAAAGAGGCAAAGGCATTCCCATCCAAGGCAACCAAATGTCTTATTATTTACAATGTGTTGTTTAACGTTTCAAAGCAGGTCCATATAGAAGATGCTTAGCGACAAGGTTCTGAAAAGTCTCCATGATGGAGAATGCGAAAACCATGTTGCCGGACTAGAGCTTGCCAAACAAAGCAGTGAGATTCAGATATTATTGACCGACTATGAGGCATGACGCAGTCACTTTCACTTTGAATTGCCAATCTTGTCAGATGCATGGGCCAATATGTCACCAGCCATCTGAGACACTTCACCCCGTCCTGTCTAGGCATGGACTCGGGCCGGGCGGCCCGCCCTGGAACCGGCCCGGACCGGTCACTGTTTGAACCGGCCCGACCAGGGAACCGGGCCATAGGGCGGTTCGGGTCAACCCGGCCCGCTAGTCATACGGTTCGGGCTCGGGCCCTAGGAATAGTGAACCGGCCCGGCCGGTTTGGGCCCGGTCTGGGCCAAATTTAATTTTTTTTTTTGAATTTTTTTTTAAGTTTTTGGGTTGGGCTGGGTATTTTGGGCCATTTGAGGTGGTTTGGGGGTGAGGGGGGAGGGTTGGGAGTTAATTAGGAGAAGCCAAAAAACAAATTAGATTGGACCGAGGCCCGGCCCGAACCGGACCCGGGGGTTACCCGGGCCGGTTCCGGGTAGTGGTGGACTCGGGCCGGGCGGCCCGGCCCGGTTACTGTTTGGCCCGGCCCGGCCCGGGGCCCGGTGGGTCCACCGGTTCGGTTTGGCCCGGCCCGGCTGCTGGGCGGTTCGGGCTCGGGCCCTGTTTTTGGTGAACCGGCCCGGCCGGTTCGGGCCCAGTTCGGGCCGATTTTTAATTTTTTTTTTTTTGAATTTTTTTTAAGTTTTGGGTTGGATTAGGTATTTTGGCCCATTTGAGGTGGTTTGGGGTGGTTTGGGGTTGAGGGGGAGGGGTTGGGGGTTAAATAGAAGAGCCAAAAAAAAAAAAATTATAACCGGTTAGGCCCAGCCCGGCCTGGCCCGGTTTGGCCCGGAACCGTAACCGGAACCGCCCACCGGCGGTTCGGGCTCGGGCCCAACATTCCTGGCCCGAGGCCCGGCTGGGCCCAGGCCCGAACCGGGCCCGAACCGGCCCGAGTCCACCACTAGTTCCGGGCCTCCCATATCGTGAGCCGTGAACCGGCTGGGCCCGAACCGGAACCGGTCCATGCCTAGTCCCGTCACCCTAGCCCTTCATGAAATGGGTGTATAGATATTGTTGCAAAATTGGCATATACGAGACGACCAACACGTCCAGAGTGCACCCAGATGGTCGGGCCCACATTCACTACCTCATGCACTGCACCGACGAATCTAGAGGATTCTATGGCTAATATTTGCTCAGCTACGTCAAATACAGGACAAGATCAACGGAATTCTAGGAGTGTCGGCGCCATTAGACATAGCCTCCAAGACGTATTATGCGGACTCGCCTTTCAGTCGTCAGATCACCAACGTTGAGATCCCTCATAAATTTGTTACACCACCAATGAAGCTATTCAACGGAACCTCCGATCCAGGGGAACATGTCGCGCAGTACAAACAGATGATGTTAGTAGTCGTCAATCAGGCAAGAACAGAGAGGCTTGCATGTGCAGTGCCTTTGAAGCAACTTTGACAGGACTATCCCTGACATTGTTCGTCAACTTGGCAAACAGGGGAATCAACTCATTCGCTTAACGCATGAATCTTTTCATCCAACAGTTTGCGAGCAATAGGATTCTTGAGAAACAAACCAATGATCTATATAGAATTACCCGACGGCGAGGCAAAACACTTCAAAAGTACTTGCATCGCTACAACAAGGAAAAAGTGTCGGTCCCACAATGCGACATCCCTACAACAGTTGAGGACTTCGAGAGGAGATTACTCGAAGACTCAAAACTATACCGAGAGATGACCAAGTATCCCTACCGAACCTTTGAGAACGTCCAAGCCAAAACATTGGCCTTTATTCGTTTAGAGGGGGGTCTACAGTATCGACATGAAAACTACAAGTTTGAAAATTATATCTAAACTACATTAAATAGGATGCAAAAAAGATAGAGATAAAATAATTATACAAGAAATATGCATGGAAGATTCATAATTACGTAACAATGTGATTATACGAATAAGAATGATAAAGTAAGAGTCCTTGTTGTACCACATTTGTACACACTTTTGTGCATTTGCTTGTTTACACAGGCATTTGGGAGAAAAGTGTTGCCTTCTTCTTAACAAACTTTCTCTGTGCACAGGCGAAATAGGGGGTGGGTACAAAAGTGGGTACAAAGAGAATTTTTGCTTCAGGAATCCAATTATTCCGATGGATTAAAATACTACTGTTGGGTGCCACTGGCGCCGTTCAGCAACAGTGTAATGATCTCCATGAAGCAGCGTTTAAAAACAAGCCTGGCAATTCCTGACCCATTTTAAAGTAACCCACACCAGATTGACCAGTTACTGGGTCCTATACTTCGGTGCAGATAGTTGGGTTGGTTACATGAAAAGAAATGCAACAGCCATGGCTCGATTTCAAGTAATATCAGTGTTCACTCCTAGGTTAGCAGGATACTAAGTCACTGTGTCCGTCTAATGAAAAGAATGAAGGATATATGGCAAAAAAGGCTTGTGCAGCTCCAAAATCACTGTAAACAAATTTTGGAGAACAAACCTATTCTCTACTTTATAGGATGCAAAATTGGGAGGCCAGTAGGACAATAAACCTTAACCCCCTCCCCTGTCATCAAAGCCCTTACAGTTGACAGAATTAAAACTTTTTATCAACAGCAAAAGCAATAGTTTACCAAAAATATTCTCCCCAGTTTGTTTTAGACTTTTAGCTAGGCTTATAAAAACCTTGCTCAGTGTCGCCTTTCACTGATCCTCTCCAACATGACTATTTTCAGTGTTTCCATTGAGGAGCTCCTCTACCTTCTCTTGGACCTCCACATCAACTTCTACTTTACCTTCTGGGGTAGAACCATCCTCATGATTCAAGGCCTCGGGCCCACCACTGTATTTTTCAGAAGGCGGGAATGTATCTTCCTCTAGAGCACTATCCGTGGCTGAAGGAGTTGTTGATACTACCAGTGATTGGTTTGGTGAATTTCCTGAGCTTGGAGGAAAAAAAACACCGGTGCCGGAGACTGGTAAACGTGGCGGTGGAGGATTTGTTGGGGCGGGTGTGGCATTCCAACCAGCAGAGGCTACCGGTGGGGAAGGAAAAGGCAGCTGTGGTGGTGGGACGGGGGTAGAAACAAACATCGGCTGGACCCCATTAGAAGGTAGTAGTTGCGGGCAAGCAGCTGGTCCCGGTGGCAGTATGACACATGATGTTGACACTACTGGACCATTATAATGCTTCGGAGCTGAAGGGCGGATAATGTGATTTGGTGGCTTGCTAGGTGGGTGGTACTGTGTATGTGGGGAAAGTGGTCCAGTGTATGTTGGGCCACGAGGACTATTTCCAGATGCTGCAGTTTTATCAAGCTGAGACTTTGTTAAAGTAAGGATGATTCGCTGTTTCTGGAGAGATGGGATTGCATGTTTTGCAAAATCAGCTGACTTCCCTTGCATGACTAGCATGGACCTACACAGAAAGAAACCAGGCAATCCTTAGTTCAGTCAGTTCAACTGCATGAAATATAAACCCCATTCGGTGATCTTTATTTTTTGGGCCTGTTTAAGACTGCATTGGTAAATGATAATGATGTTAATAATTAAGCAATGGTAATTTCCTTGGCTGAATTGGCTAAAAAGAAAATTGACCGCCTCTCACCCCAAAATTTAATGTTTTCCCACTTTTTGCACATATGTAAATTCCTTGCAATTTTTAGTCCGGCAAGGTGGCAAGAAATCAAAAATATATAAGTACAGCTTCTGGGTGATTATTACTGCAATTTTTTTTATTCCTTCCAACCCTAATGGGCTCAATTTATGTACAGCTTTCGGCTGATTTTCACCAGGCAAATGGATGGAAAAGACAAAAAATGGATACTTGAAGTTGTGCACAGAAAATGGACAACATATAAGCTTGGGACAAAAACAACATAAATCAGAATGAAAATACTTATGAGACCAAAACTAGAAACCTTTCAAGGCTAAAATGTAGATAAATGACACCACCAACATCAAATATCAGTACTATTACCAAGTTTCAAATATTAGCTTTTAAATAACTCGGACAGATTTGCTCATTTAGCTACAACTTCAGCGGATTTTAAGCCCGACTCGACAAATTTACCCACACCAAACAGCCTTTGAACTTCTAAGTACCCCTTTTTATAGGGGTGTGGCTGAAATGGCAGAACATTTGGATAGAAAACTGTTGACACAGGCATTTCAGAAAAATAAGTGAATTAAGAGCTATGAGATCTGAGGGCTTTTTGTTTAGTCTTTGTTTCATCCAAGAAAAACAGAGAGAGAGAACTGCCCTACCCTGGTGCAAGAGAAAGGCGGAGAGAGCCCCGATATTCCCCGCGATTGTGTGAGTCAATCATTTTTCCATATGTAATATCACATTCTGTCAGAAAGAGCACACTTATTGGCCGTCCAAACCAAAGAGGCCACATATTTGGTTGTGAGTAATCTCCCTACAGAAATGGTAAAACAGTATTTCCTGTTTTTAGCATATGAAGCAAAACCAATAGAACCGGGAGATATAATATACAGTTAGTACTTGTTTAGTCTTTTGATTATGGGTCAATTCCAGATTACGTACTCAGCTTTTAATTTCACCAAGTTTCTGCCTTCACTTTTAGTTATTTCTAAATTAAGTCTTGTGTGAACTAATCTGTATTAATTTTCAAGAACCAGGGTAAAAATGGAAACACATTAAATAACAGATGAACATGTAGGCTATGTTGCACGATAAGACAGATGATAATTTCCATTATTGCCCCTAGATCTTGAAAGAGAGCAGTAATTTGTTTAAAGAGGATTACATCTGGAAAGAGCGTGAAAGTCGAGGTAGAAATGTGGTCAAATTGAAAATTATCTACTATATCTAGAATTGACAGAATAATAGAGGACAGAATCTTGAGTTTATTAATAATTTAATCATCACTCGTAACCTCATTGAAGATATCAATCATGCACGAATCAGGCTTGATGGGGACCACTTGCTTAGAAGCCAATGAATCAATAACTTCTTGCAGTAAGACAGGAATGGTATCTACTTTCTTCTCTGCAGATACAATTAAATTGGAACCCAAATGATAAGAAAATCAGTCATAAAGTACTCAAAAAAGTTATAACAAAGGGAAGGAAAAGTGAAAGGTATTATACAAGTGCCCTTCAATAACAATTATAATGCTATCAATTATAGTCTTGCCTTTGGATATTCCGGCAGCAGCTTCATTTTCAGTAACATCAGTAACGGGAATACCTAATTGAATCATTTCTCTCCCATGCCCCTTCATGGGTCTCTTTGAGACTACAAATGTTTGCCCTGCTTATCACACAAAAATACACTTCATTTTCAAGGTGCTACTTTTGAAAGGGCTTCAGTTAATCTTCAGAACACACAATGCATGCTTTATCTCACCCTTCCAAGAAACAAGACGTGGGTGCTATTATGTGCCTGTTTGAAATAGTATAATTTATAGCATGTGCTTTTATCATAAGTGCTCTACTGTTCTCTCAGTCTCTCACTAAGCACTTATAATGCTTTTTTAAAAAATCACCAATCTGTTTATTTCTTAAATTATAATCAGATGTGATATTTACTACTACCTCCGTCCAATTTTATGTGCCTACTTTGGTTTGGCACAATTATTAATAAAGTGGTTGAAAAAGTAAATGGTGTGGTTGATATTAGAGTATAATAAAGTGAAATACTATAGACCACATATTTCTTTCCAAAAATGAAACGTGACACTTATTTTGGAACAACCCCAAAAAGGAAAGTCAGACAGGAAAAATGGAACGGAGGGAGTATTTTTTTTTTATCTTAAGGTGATATTTACTACGTAGTATTAAAAACACTTTTCCACTTTACAGACAAACTCTGCTTTTTGAAGCATAGGTGCTCCTCTTCCTCTAAAAATCAGTTATTTATAAAGAATCATTTATCCAAAATCGCACAAATAAAAAAGAGTGTTTTAGCCCTATTATTTAAAATCCAACATAGAGATCAGTGGTTCTAATCGCCTAATATCTCGAAGGCAACATAGAGTCACTAACTTACACTAACCAATACTAATTTACAGAAAAAAGATCTTTTCAATCCGCCTTTTCTCTATAAGTTACAGACAGGTTTAGACTTCGGGAGGAAAAGCGCCTTGCATTTCTGAAAACCATGTCAATCTCGGAGAATTACTGTTTCCTATCGAGAGTAAGAGTGCTGAATACTACGAGATAAATAATGAGGCATTAGGAGTTACTACAGCCCACACAACTGAATAACACACAATATTATCAACCTTCAACTAGCAATATTGAATGAAGAATATGAAAACGGAACTATTTTTCAGTTATACGGAGACATTAGAATGAGCCACAGATATATCATTAATATTTAATAGTAGACGAGTTTTCACACTGCTCACTTGATAATCAATGAGAGCCAACAAAGAGACAGCACCACCACATTGTACAATTAAACTGATAGGAAAACATTATACCAGAATTTATATAATCAATAAATTGAGCAAAACGCCAACAGCCCAACTTGTTACCTTGAAGCTGACCACTTTTCCCAGCAACTCTCAACTCATTTACCATAGACAAAAGTTTCGATACTTCTGAATCACTAAGTAGTTCTTCATATAATTTCAGTCCATCGACTACATTAACCTATACACAATGGAAACAGGTAGTGCATGTTAGTCCAACAAAAATAGACTTCCCACTATTATTCTTCAATAAGTAATGAAGGCCAAAAATAGATTCCGATACAGAATGATTCACAGTAAAGCGGATTAGACATTACCATTTTCCCATCACAAAACTCTTTACCAACAAAAGTTTTTGGAGTGATTGTATGGTTCTGCTTCCCATGTGGTACTTGTGTGGAATTACATTCATTCTCCACACCACAAGACCCTTAAGAAGCAAATAAATTAGTTTCAGATGAAACACATGGATCTAATTGCACTATTATCAATGCAAGTACTATGTTTAGGGTGTAGGAGACATACAAAGAAGTTTCTCCAAACTGAAGCATAATACCACCATGAATACAGGAACTCTATCACTATCCAAAGGTTTAGTAAAATACTCCCTCTGTCCCTTAAAACTTAGCCAAGTTTGACCGGCACGAGGATTAATAAAGTAAAAATGTGGTTGAGCCGTTGAGGTTTGTGCAAAGGAGAGAGAATTAACTGGAACCACAAATTTTTTACTAAAAAGGGAAAGTGACAAAGTTAGTGGGACATCCAAAAAAGGAAAGTTGGCAAAGTTATAAGGGACGCAGGGAGTAGTATTCTGAAAAATGAAATACTTTTGCTACAAGCCAAATGAGCAACCCCCTAAAGTGCAAGGATATATATAACTTATATACTAGTAATTGTTTGTGTGTTAGAAATGCAAGGATAAGACAAAAAGTTATTAGGAAAAGAGGAGGGTTGTACCATCAGATTTTGCAGTACATTTATCGTCTTTATTAGCCTCACTTTGCAAGTCATCAGATTGACTATTCCCCAAACTCATCATCAAAATATTTGACTCGGATCTTTCAGAATATTCTGTGCATGCAGGTATCATCACGAATTAACATCCTTTCAGTTTGACATATGTCAGAAGAGCCAGGTGATTTTCTAAAAACTCATGCAATTAAAGTACAATTCTGCAATTAGAAAAACTAACATTATCTATGCTTTTTATCTTTAAAAATACATTGAGGCACAACACATTGACAAAAGAACTTCAGCAATGAAGCCCATACCTTGTGTTTCCAAATCAGTTCAGAACAAAGTTCAAAACATGTTCAAACATGATCTTTACGCACGTTAGATATTATAATCAAAGAAACACTTATGGAATGTTCAAAAGTTTGGACAGATTGAGTTATATAACTATGGGTTTTCATGAAGAACTGTGTACAAAGTACACAGGAGTGTAAATATTACCAAAAAGGCTATTTGAAGTTGGCATTTCTGTGGGAAAGTAATTGAATAACTTCTACTTAAAATGGAAAAATTCTACAGAGTTACTGTTCGTGAGGCATGCCACAATATGTACATTAAGTTTGTAACTTTGTTTCAAAATCTCATAGTTTGAACTTTGAACCATTACAAGTAGTAATCATCTCTATAGAGAAATGAGTCAATGATGAGAATGGCAAGTCCCTAGTGTACCCCAACGTTTCTATTTATATAGGGATCTTTAAAATGCATGAACTAATCGAAGATAGCATTTTCTCTGTTAGGTTAGTACCATTGAGTAATATCACCATGTGCAAAACTATCCATTTCCAAGCCTGTTTTTTGTAAAATATTATGTGACCTAGTCCCACTATACCAAATAGCCATTACTAGTATATTCATGGCAATTCATATCATTACTACGTAGTATTACAAATATAGAAATCAATTATGATCCAGTATTCTACCGTAATACTTCACTTAGGAAACCCCAATACAAGCAAAGCGAATAATGCTTTCCTATGTTACCTTTCTTGTCAGCTTGTTTCATTTCCAATTCTTTGTCAGCCCCATCAGACTTCTCAATACCATTGGCCTTTGAATCCTTATTACTGATAGCCTCAGCAACATAATTCTGACACCCGCTTTCTCTCAATCCCTCATTTCTCCAATAGCCTCTGCCACCGCCACCAGTCCTCCTTCCCTTGAACCCACCATTATCAAAGCCCCTCCTTTGCTTTCTAGATTCCACTTGTTGCAAGGCATACACCACCTCTGCCACCGAGAAGTACTGCTGCATGTACAAAACGGAGTTCCAATTACTCCTCCTCTGCTGTATACACCCAATAACCCCTTCGTACTCCCCTGGCTCTCCGAGCAACCTCAGGTGATGACAAAGTGCATCGATTATTGCATTTGAGGCCGCAAACTCCCCCCTCATCCAAGATATGAAGGCATCCCTATCGTCAACCTGATGGTGCTGCTGGGGAGGGTACCACTGTTGCTGCGCCCTATGATGCGGGTGGTTGTGGTTGTGGTGGTGCACTACCATGCCGGCGCCGGCGCCAACATTATCCGGCAAAGAATTCACAGCTTTTCCAGATTGCGCTGCCATCAAACACTAAACAGGCAATATTTGTTTATACGTTTGTGTCTATCAATATGTATTCGCGTATATAATATATCAAGTATATCTATCTACAGATAACAGATCGAAGCGGGAGAAGCTGCACCCATCCTTGTCGGATATGGAGAGTAAATGGCAAGTGAATATCGGCAAATCACACCACTGACGCAAGAGAATATCGGAACCTGTGGAATTGTTCTCTGAATTCGCAATGTAGGAAGATGACTATCAAAAGAGGATTCGTAGCGAATGGAATAAAACTCTGTTAGTGTGGAGGAGTCTGAAGATCTAGGGTTGGGTTGAATGCTAGGTCGTGGTGAGGAATATGGCTTACAGAACACGCGTACAATGGAGTCCCAAACAGTGCGTTCGTCATATCTTCACAAGCCTTCAATGGTAATTTGGTATGTCAATTGTCAAACAGCCACCGGGAAAAAAACACAAAAAACGCACGATTGTTTTGTTTCGTTTTTAGTGAAATGAAATTGCAGTTTTAAATTTGTCATCCTTTAAATTTCTCATCCTTTGCTTTCAAAAAAAAAAATCCTTTACTTATTAGAAATGTAATGGACAAAAAATATTACTCTGTATTTATTAACTATTACTCAGTAGTAATTAATGCTTTATTTGGATAAAATGAATTTAAGCAAACCTAATGCAATAAAGTGAAACTAAGTTTTAATGAAAACTAGTTGAAATCACGGGGAGCGGGCAACACAGAGGTATGTGACTCGTGCGATGGTGGCCCGGAAAACTCATGGCATATTTTTCTATCTTGTGCGGATAGCATATCTTGTTGGAGAAAGATAGGTCTGTGGGAAGACCTGGACACTACCATGAGCAGGGTTGAAAATTTCGTGGAATTTTTCTTAACTATGATCAGTGAGTTATCTGATAACAGGTTGAAATTGTTTGGGATGACTATGTGGAGCATTTGGCGGAAAAGGAATGTTTTATATTGGGATGGTATACAAGAAACTATTACTCAAGTGATATCTCGAGGGGCTGACGTGCTACATTCATGGGAAGCAGGCCAAGGTTCGAGAGGTGATAGAAAGGAAAGTAAACAGAATGTTATCAAGTGGAGCAGGCCACAAATTGGTTTTGTTAAGTGCAATATTGATGCTGCAATTTTTTCAGGTGATAAACGAGTGGGATTTGGCTGCTGCGTTAGGGACCATATGGGGAGATTTTTCAGGGCCCGAACTTCATGGATGAGAGCGGAAATGAGTCCAACTGAGGCAGAAGCTTGGAGTTTGAGGGAAGCTCTTAAATGGATGCAGGAGACTGAGTATACAAGAGTTATTTTTGAGTCTGATTGCAAGCAGTTGGTGGATGATATTTACAACGCACACAGGGATCGGTCTGAATATGGATCTCTAGTACAAGATTGTAGGGATCTTGTTGGGTCTAATAACGACTTATGTGTCGTTTTTGCTAGGCGACAAGCTAATAGTAGTGTTCATGTTCTTGCTAGAGCATCAACTAGTTATGCTTTTTGCACAATTTTTTTTATCTGTTCCTTACTGTATTGAGAACATTGAGATTGATGAAATGAATTGAGCTTTTTGCGTAAAAAAAAATGAAAACTATGCTAACATAAATCAACATAGGTTCATGCGTAAAATATTATTTGAAAATAAATAAGGTGAATCTAGATTAATCTAATAAATGTTGTTTGGTGAAGGCATTATAGCTCATTATATTTTACACGAGAACTTGACCTTCAAAGCCCTCCCATAGTCCCACTTCAGAGGTTCTTCAATTTTAGGTTCTCGAGAGTTAAGTGAGGTTAACCCAAATTTATTAATAATCTAGATTCTTGTTATAAAATACAAACAGAGTAAAATATCCATGAGCATGTTTAATATTGTTCAAAACAGAATAGAGAAAGCACGAACCACGTCTTCTCTCCGAGATGATCAACCGAGCAACGGGCACAGGTAGCAAGCTCAAGCCTCAACCTGAAATGGTGATGGGATGCCCCCGAAGGGGTCATTACTCTATACGGATATAAAGTACTAGTGTGGCAGGCATCTAATAGATATTGTTGGGGTATACTACCCCGGCCTATTACTGTTCAAGAGGCCCAAGACACCGCTCCGGTACGGAGCCCAATCGGCGAGGCCCATTTAGGCTCAACCGGCCCATTTAGGCCGATTCGGCCCATTAGTGCCTTTTCGGCCCGTTAGCCCCTTTGGCCCTTTGGCAAACCCTCCCCCATTTCCTATAAATAGGGAGGAGGGCTCCTGTTTGAAAGGGACTTCGTTTCTCTCCGAGGAGGGCTCTTCTCCTTTACTATTCTTCTTCCCCTTTTGATAGCTTAGTTATTCAAGCTCCTTTAATGGAGTCCCAAGAAAGATGTATTATGTAATTGAGGGATGAGAGCATATTAATAAGAAAGAGCGGGCTTGAACGTTAGCCTAAAAAGTCCCGTGGTTTTCTCCCTTTCCGTGTTTCCACGTAAAAATAGCTAGTTCATACACTTTTATACTCCCTCCGTCCCAATATAAAAGGCACATTTTATAGACATTTTAAGGGTGAACACTGTTTGGCACTATTTAGACACTGTTTGGACACTGTTTGGCACTGTTTTGCACTGTTTTGTTTGCTAAAAAGGGAAATGTGCCTTTTATATTGGGACGGACCGAAAAGGAAAGTGTGCCTTTTATATTGGGATGGAGGGAGTATATTTTATTCATGTTTATACCGAATCCATCATCCTTAATATCCGAAGTTTATGTTGGGCTTCCGGATCTACGAGACAAAACCTCAACAGATATACATCAAGTATTTCACACACAAGACCCTCAAATAGGGTGATAATATAATCTAGGCTGTAACCCCAAGTTACCCATTTTTAAAATATATACTTTTATAAAGTCAAGTAGTCGGCCCGTAGGCCCGTGTTTATCCACAAAACATTTCCCAATACCCCGTGACCACGAGTCGCAACGTCCACGAATTCAACATGTCACAGTTTGCATAGCGCGAGCTCGGCTCATCTGACATCTCTATGCAAAGCCATGATTACATGGCGCGAGCTCGGTTCGTCTTACGTCTCCATGAAATTCCAAATTCATGTCCACCGAATGCAAGTTCTAGACTACCAATCTTAATCAACTAACATTGGCATGGACCCCAATTCTTATGTCTACCTTTTGCAAATTCTAGAGTACCACTCATAATCAATTTATATTAGCATAGACCCCAATCCCTAAGCACTTGTTATACCTAGAATTGTCATAACATTAAGCTACCTTAGGACATCCTACGGACTGCCTCTAACTTGATCTTAGTTCACACTAAATCACAATAGACACTTGAAGTCCATCAAGTTCATCACAATACAATCCAAACCTTGGGTTTGATTCTATCAACAATTCGATCAATCCTTAACTAGTATTTCATTACTATTAAGATCATTCTTACAAATCATTTATTCATAAATGGGAGCCCCCACATATCTAGAGGTACGTGGCAGCATCTCATGGTTCAATTCCATCATGCAAATATTCCTTTACTTAAGCATATCATTCATACATGAGTTAGAAATGCCTATTATTATAACATAATAGCACATTTATACCTCATTTAACTCCATATTCATCAATATGGTTTCAATTCATGATCGAATCCATTACTTATCATTCATATCATGTTCAAACATCTTTATTCATGAAAACATGATTTAAGCATTTAGGTAATCTTATGCATAACCTACAAGTTGTAAGAAACTAGATGTAGGTCCTCACCTTAATGAGCTTTAGACTTTCCTTTCACGCTCCAATGATCAAGCCTCGGCCAAAGAAAGTTGGGAGCCGACTCCTTGCTTAAGGAAGGGTGATCAGCAGCCTGCTCACAGCAGCTAGCTCACCACTTTACCAACGAACTGAAAACATGTAACACCATCCCCAAATGTATTTACTTTTAAGTGAATAATGTATTGAAACTTGTGGAATGGTTAATGAGTATGCGATATTGTGAATTTTTATTAATTCTTTTGCGTGAATAGTAAATTCGCACGTGGGGCCCACACCGGGAGCGGGGGCCGCCCGAAATTTCCGAAACCATATACTTTATTTATTTTGGTCAAGATAATAGTTTTATGGTAGTGGACAATTTATTTGGGCCAAGGGAAAGGTATTATATGAACCGATTGGTCAAAAGTGGCTCAAATACTGGTTTTGGTAATTTCACGGATAACAGCCCGAAATGAATTTCGGGGGTTTATAAATTAATGTCGGGGAATGCATATTCATTATAAGGGTCATAATGATTGAGAACGCATAATATATTTTATTTGACCCGATGAAATGAAATATATTTAAAACAGTCCGAAAAATACAACTTTCGGGACCGATTGTACACTTTGGGACACAAAGGGATGACCTCCCACATGAGTGGGGGCCATCCCACGTTTTTATGCTCATAGTTGACAAATTGGGGGCTGCATTATGGGAGTGTGTGATATGGAATGGATGAGAGTGGAAGGTGGGTGTGAGTATGACTTGAGGTGGACCTCACCTCCCTCACTCATTGGCCATTTGAGACAAAACCAAGTCTCACAACCCATCCCCCCTATCATACTCGACCAAGACCCAAAGGAAAGAGGAGAGAAAGCTCTACAACTCCATTCCCCATAGCCAAATTCGAGCTCAATCTTGAGGAGTCCAAAAAGGGGGTTTTAGGAAGGAAAAAGTTGGGAGAAAGTGAGAAAGATTAAGGTAATGACCTTATACTAACTTTTCCTTTATTTTTCTTCTACC